ACCATCAGTTCTATGGTTTAAACATGCTTGGCTGTGTTTATCCAATATTACAGCTTGCTACTAGCCGTGTTTCAAAAGTTTGCTTCAAATCCATTTGACAAATACATGCAAATAGCTAAGAGTAGTTTTAGAGTGTTTGAGCAGAGCTGCAGGTGAACCGGTGTGCTGGAGCTGCAGCAAGTAGCAGAAACATGGGTGGAGAGAGAAGCGGGGGACTTCATACATCTGCATATTCCAGAGGAAACAACAGTGTAGAGTTACATCAAAGCTATTTTAATGCAGGATGGGATTATTTTCATAGAAAAAAAAGTAGCATGTATGTATGTAAGTCTAATACATGAAGAGGAATTTCAAAGGCTTAAATCAATGACTGAAGAGGGACTTTAAAGCTGTCAGTGAGCTTCTTTAGCAGTATTTGTTGGATGACTGAGCATCTTCCAAACATGTCCCAGGAGACACTGTGTGGGTATGTGCGATGTTAACCTCATATATAAATGATAATGCGATGGCTGGCTTTTCACTAGAGCGTGGCCATTTTCAACAACTATACACCCGTTTGATTTCTGAGATGGTCACATTGTATGAAATTGTCCTCATTGAGCGTAACTCAACCTTAATGCTTTTAGTTGACATTGCCTCCCTGTGGAGAACATGTACCTTGTGTAGGGCTTCTCCAACAAAATGCAAAGAAAGACAGAATCAGATGGATTTGCGACAGTGACTTGCTGATGCGCACTGCTTTTGTATGCTGGAACAGGCTTGAAGCCCACAACATCCTGACGAGGAAGAAATGACATGGATAAATGACGTCTGTGGAAATGCTGTGAATGTCTTCCACAGATTTGTATCGCACGCAATGTTAAACCAGGAGAAGCAGTGTCAACAACTTACCCCATGTTGACTCTAATTTGTCAAAGTAAAGCATCAGAGGACTAATGACAATGAGATGTGTGTTATAGATTACACTAATGGCTGCTCATTCTCTTCCAAAGACAAATTATCCACAGAGAACAAAGTCCATTTCCTCACTAATGTTAGACTTTTAAGTTTCTCTTAAGGAGTGAGAATCATTTTAAGCAGTGACTTGTAACTGTCCATGTATGACCTTTCTGCAATGCATTCTCTTGTGCTGACACAAATATCAGATTTCTTCTGACAATGACAGGCATGTTAAATGTGCTTGTGTGAATTTGTATATGTCACAGTATTCATATATATCTCTGACAGGAGACTATACAGATATGGCTTTGGCCTTTCCATCACATGTATTATAAATTAGATGGCTCTATGGCATTCAGTGGTGCAAATACATCGAGCAACAATTTGTCAATAAATGCCAGTTCCACGTGTCAGCATTTCATTGAAGCTTGAAATGTTTTTGCATGCCTCATTACCAACCTATTTTACATGAGGAAGGGTGCACACATTTTCTGGACCGTGCCTGAAATAGCACATGAATTAAGCTTTTTTCGAATTCATGTCACTTTTAAGTGTTGTAGCCGATTATCATATCCTCTGGCCAACAGCATCAAACAGTATTTTGGACCATTAGATGAGTGTTTCTGCAGCTGTACTCGAAGAACATTGCAGGGCTGTTACATCTAAACCTGTATGAGCAAAGACACCATTAAGGTCTTTAATAACTCCAATAATAGAAGATGTACCTCTTTTTATATTTAGCAACATAAAATGTAGATATATGACATGCATGCATTCAGAGGTTTTATGATTCTTACTGGCTATTGCTATGGCAACCATGTGACCAGCCAATGGAAATCAGTTTTTCTGTTGCCAACCTTTGGTAACAATGCCCATATGATTCTAAGATTATACATGTGAAAAATGTTCTCTAAACACAGGCACACAGTGTTGTATGAAGATGATGGATTAAGCTTTTTTTTCCAAAAGGAAACTTTTACCTTTTATGTGAAAAGTTTAACATCTTAAAATCCAGCCAGACAGAAAAAGACTCCAGCTTGATCCATCCAGCTTGACCAAAATGACTGAGGTTGTAGATCAGTTGGACACTGAATCTGTTTTTATCCAGCCCTCTTTGTCTGTTATCACACATATTGATGCTATGAAGCAGGTGTTTGAACTGCCGTTGCTAGTCTCCACTGTCTTTTATACCATTTCTGGTTTTGTGTGCGGTTATTATCCACTCCAGGGCAAAACTGCTGATTTCTTTGATGGTTCAAATCCATTCCAAAATGATGCATTTCTTCCTCGACTTTGAAAAAACCCTATTTGATGTGAAGCAGTTCTGTGCTGCTTCATCAGATATCTGTAGATTTGTGATTGATTCCCCAGCCTGTGAACCTACTGCGGACTACCATGGTAAAAAGGAAACAGTTAACTCTGAACTAGTGCATGTCTTCCTGCATTTGAAGACAGAGTGAGATTGAAAACCTTTGAGGATAAAAGAAGAAATAATCTGCATTTGTACCAGCAGTTGTACTGTCTGTCATTCGGGCAGTGCGAGATAACAGAAAGAATGTTATCTGTTCTTTCTGCTGGTTTCTTTAACCTCAGCACAGGTTGCACTTTTATTCAATACAATTCAGTCAGTTTTATTTATATTGTGCTGAATCATAACATATGTTATCTCAAAGTACTTTATGGTTAAGGCCATAAAATATTATAGAGAGAAACCAGTAATTCCCCTATTGAGCAGCATTTGGCGACAGTGTCAATGAAACCTAACTCCTTTTTCCCAAGAAGAAACCTCGGACAGAACCAGAATCACAGTGGATGACTGTCTACCTGTTGGGTTGCATACAGAGAGGAGAACACTGTGCATTTGAGGTGGCCTTGGAACCAGAATGTCACCAATCAATGCTATTATTACAAATCACAATTGGCTACGACTCATTCTTTTCAGCATCTGATGATTATTATCCCAGCTGAACACATACACATGCTCTCTTCCTGTTTCTGCAGTATAGAGGCTGTTGGCAGTTTAAATACTACATCCATGGACCACCTCAGCCCAAAGGTCGGTCTCTGCTGCCAATAGGAGGAGAAAAAGGAGCCAATTTTAAAAAATAAATAAATAAATAAATAAACATGACACAGTAAGAGGAAAAAATGGATAAACTCCCTCGATGTGTCCGTGTTTACATGTCTCTCTTGGTCATTCTATCACATAATAAACCTTTTCATTTACTTTTTTTTTTTTTTGGAATTTAACAAGACTTATAGCTGCAGAAGCTTTGTAACTCCTGTTTATTGCCAATAGACATATATTTATATATATGCCACTGATGTCCAAAGAAAAAAAATTCTCCATAATGCACGAAAGGTTCCATCCAGAGTTTAGCATCCTGAGGCTCTGTGAACAACAAAAAGGATTAATGAGTGTCAGAGTGACTGTCCAGGATGAGACAAGGAACATCCATGAATACATCAGGAAGATGGTCCCCCAGGACAAACTGCTATAAGAGTGCCTCAGGCAGCAGAAGACAGAGAGGGATGAGAAGGAACAGGGAATATCATGACATACCTAACCTGTCCATGGGATGCAGACATCAAGGACTCCTACTCGTGGCTAGAAAGGTTGGTCTGAAGGACAGCACAGGGCTCTGATTATGGCAGCACAAGAACAAGCCTTGAGCACCAAGGGGTCCACCACAACAGACTGGACCCGAGGTAAGGATTATGCAAAGGTGCCCCTTAGACAGTCCAGCACATAGTAGCAGGCTGCTACTAGTCCTCCTATTCCACACAGATACACCACTGAATGTTTCTGAGAACAACAGAGCTAAAATCCGGTCTGACTTCAAGTTCCTTATGAGAAGGAGCTGCTGGCTGACCAATCAGACACAGTGGTGGTCGATGAGGAGTAGAAGAGAGCAGTTGTGAAAGATGTGGCAGCTGACAGTAACATCAGGAAGGAGTACTGACCTTACAATTACTCGCTTTACCACCTGAATGATGCCTTTCAAGATGGTGGAAGGTCAAGTCCACACTAGTCTGACTCACCAGATGTAGACTGCAGGTAAAAGCCTGCCATTAGCCTCTCCTGTCAGCTGGCTTTCTCAACTCCCTCTGGCATCTACGCATTATCTATATCTACTCTGGACTAAGATTTGGACCATACAGTGAGGCCCTACTCGTGTTTTTTTTGTTTTTTTTCATGGATTATCTATTTTGCACGTTATACCATGTATAACTGTGTCTGTGACCAATAAAAGACCTTGAGCCTTGAACCTTTTACAATGCTCACCTCCCTGCATGCAAATGGTCCACCACAACCATTCCACTGTTCTCTGTTTTGAAGGAACAACAAAGCTGCATCCTTCGGTTAGCTCTGCCCAAAACGACTGTGATTGGTTTAAAGGAATACAAACAAAACAGAGATTTTACCTCCTATGGCAGAATCACACTGAAGTGCAGCCAGATCATTAAGTATGGAGCGGCTAAGCGAGACTAAGTCTAAAGCTGTCCCTGTGGTAAACGGCATTAGGGATCTATTACCCTTTATCTTTGTAGAGTGCCATCCTAAGATACAGCACAGAAGCCTTAAACTCCCAGACCTCTAGTGAAGGTTCTGAATCAATAACCTTTAAAGTAAATAGTGTATATAATGTACAAAGTGTTATAAAAGAAAGTAAAGACATTAATCAGGTATGCAGAATATCATAAATGTTTTTGCCTGACAATTTTCCTATACCATCATCATCATCATAAAAAAAATGAAATTACAGTACATTGCTGTCTGCTTTGGAAGAAAATGCAATTTTTAATTAAAAATATCAAACTAAGAATGTGGATTTACACCACAGACTGACTTATTTACTCGTATAATTACATTTTCAACAAACAGCACTGATCCCTGTCACGCGCCTTCACGTTCGCGCTGCTGACGTCACCTTACGTTCAAATTGCAGCTCGCGTGAGGAACTCCTTCCGGTGGTCACGTAAGGTAGGCACCAGGCGTAAACAGTGCAAATAAGAGGCAAAAGCAGGTGTACCGCAGCAGGCAAGGTGTTGTGTAGCTTCAGAACTGGTTGTACACTAACCGCATGATTCACCCACGACAGAAGCTTGATTCTTTTTTGGCCTTTTGCTCTTTTTTCACTATGTTTTTTCGAGCAGGATGTCTTCCTAGGGCGGCATGGACCGGCTGCCGAAGGTCATTTCCACCAGCTTGACTACAGTAACAGCGAGCTAGCTAGCTCTTTGAATCAACCAAAGTTCTTTATATAAAAGCACTTGCACTCGTTAAAATGTACCGTTAACGTTAGGACATAATACAACGCCGCTGGACATCATTTTCTGTCCACAGAAGCTACGTAGGCTTGTCCACTCCGTGCCGCATGCTCACCGCGCACCAGTGTACCATCATAACATCAAGCAATTCAAAATGAATCCGATTAAAGTGACTTACTCATTAACAAATACTCAAAGATTTGCACTTTTGTGATTCAGTAGATACTCCTAGCAAATTCGGCATGCATATGATCCACCAGCAAAGCAGTATCTCTTCAAAAATGTCAGTCTTTATCATTGGTATGTATGTTATTGACGTTAGCTAACGTTACCTTAAAGTGCTTTGCAGTGGGCGGTGGTGATAAGACTTTATTGGAAACGTATAAATGTAACTGAAAAAAGTACTGAGGTGTGTAAAAAATGAAACCGAATTTTCATGAAGCCTGTAAAGTTTCATTAGAGCTACCTTTTACAAAGTTCGCACATTACTGAGTGTTTATTTTTGTTAATGTTGCTAAATCCTAATGGACTTTGGTTTGGCACATGCGAACATCAAGTCAGGGCTAATTACTAGTGTAGTTAAGAGCATGTGTACTCTAATCCTGGATTACCCACAGTATAAACCTCACTGCTGTTATAGACAGGTCGTCATCAGAAGTGAAACAGCGCAAGTGAAATCGTGGTATCACTATCTAACAATGGGCATGGGTATATTCAGAGCATCAGTCATCCTGGATGTTATTTTGATGCAAATGTATTGCCTTCAGTTCGTCTCCTCCTTTGGGTTCTTCACGTTTTTAAGGTCAACGCGTGGACCTGCACATACTCTATGTGTACCTGAATTAGACTCAACTGTATTCTCATGTACAGCTCTATTTAAGGTAATGCATGCTCCAATATTATGATTTGTCTTTTTCAGAATGGGGAATTTTACATCCTCCACTGCTGGAGGTCTGTCCAGCACGGCCTGCGCACAGTATGTTCAGGTAAGAGCATGTTTACAGATCTGTTAGCTGCATTTAGCTTGTTACTTTGGGTACCGCAGTGTGTACTTCAAGGATTAGGGAAAAGTATTCAATTGCGATTTACCCCACAGATACTACGGTTTGGTTTGCAATATATTTTTTCAAGCTTACGTTGTGCAATAGAATAAAAATGTGATGTTAAGCATTACCACAAGAGATACCATCAAAGTAGGATAGGATAATTACTTTATTGATCCTTTTACAGGAAATTACTTGTTACAGCAGCTACATTAAAAGAAAAACGCAGACAACCCCACAAGACACCCGACATTGAAGGCACACGCATAATATAAAACAAAATATACAATATAAAATAAAAATAAGATAAATAAATAGGTACCAAGTGTGCGACATTAGACTGCAAAAGATGGATTTTAAAAACGTATGTACATAAAGTGTCATTAGTTATGCAGCCATGTGTTTTTTTTGCATATTATAGTCAAAAGTGTGACTGTCACACAAGGAGGATGGCGTGAATTTATAAAACCACTTGCACCACAGTTAAAACCCTGTGTCAGAGGATGGCATGAATTTATGAAACCATTCGCACCACAGTTAAAACCCCGTGTCAGAGGCGCTGCAGAATGTAAATCCTAAATTACAGACTTTCTGATTTGCAACTTGCATTGTTTCAAACTACAATCTTGATTTGAAAGTGATTCATTGTTTAACACTAGTGTGTAGTGGATCTCTCTACAAGCTAATTTTAACTGACTGTGTTTGTTACATTTGGTATTTAAAACAATTAGTTAAGTTTCAGTTATTTCTGGAGAGTGAGAACCAAGTTTGGCTATTTTTTTTTCTTCTGCTGTCCACCAGCTTTTCTTGTCTTCTCAGTCAGTTGTGTTTCTTGGCATCTTTTGTCACTTGGTTTCAGTATATTATCTCCCATCTGTGTTTGTCTGTCTACTTTTGAGTCAAAAATCTATTATGAAGTAGCATCTGTGTCTCTGTGTCCTGAATATAGTGTGATGTGATGCTGCTTCCTCCATCATTTCTGGTTATTTAGCACCATTACAATGAATTACAATTTTACAAATTGGTTACAAAATGGTTCTATTTCATGCAACTTCTGCCACTGTTTACTCACTGACTATAAAGTTACAGTGGGAGAATTTCATTAAAGACACTGTTGTCTTGGCTCAGTTACTCACTTAAGGCCTGACATGTTAAAGCTGTTTCTGTGTTCTACTCACATTTAATTAACTTTGTTTTTTTGGATTGACCTTTCAGGATGTGGTGTCACAGAACTGCGTTGTTATATTTTCCAAGACCACCTGCCCTTATTGTAAAATGGCCAAAAATGTGTTCAATGAAATTGGTGCAAGCTACAAAGTAATTGAACTGGATGAGCACAATGATGGGAGGAGACTGCAGGAGGCCTTAGCTCGGATGACCGGTGCCAGAACGGTAAGAACCTCATGTCATATTTTTGGCATCGGAATTCCAAGTAGCTTTGCAGCCTATTATTAAAGCTTCTAATTAAAAAAATCCAAACATTCATGTTTGACAGCTTGTTTGTTCTGGCAGCTCTGCATTTAAGTTAAATTTAGGTTGACTGGAGTAGTGTTTTCTTTGGGGCTGCAGCCAAGAATTAGAACTTCATCTTGACTCAAAATAGCTGAATCTGACTCAAGATAAAACCCCGGGGCAAATCACATCTTCTCAGACCGTCATCTTCACTTTGCTATTACTCTTTAGCCATTTTCCCATATGAAATTGTTCTGAAAACATGTTGTGGAAAGGCTGTCTGTACACAAAGACAATTTACAATCATGACCCTTAATAGAAAAATGCTAACTTGATTTTAGATCTTCATGAGAGTTAGAAAAACATGCATTTAGTTTTATATGACCAGCATGTGTTTGCACATTCAAAGGCCATATGCAAACAAAAATAATTTTATTGAAGTCTCTCTCTGGTCAGCAATGATACTCCGAATCAGAGTTTTTCATGAAAAAAATACATCTTTGCCTTTAAAAGTGGCTTAGATGTGACCTAGAATGCACAAAGGACTTACCTCTCTCTTCAGCTACTCCTTGCTGCAACCAGAGCAGACCAGCTTACCCACAACTCTACTCAAACACATACAACTACTCTACTGCACAGTGACAAGTTGTATTATTGGAGTAATTTAGCCACATGTTGTTGTGTTTTTTTTTTTTTTTTGGTTTAGTTTGTTCTCTTTAAAACTCCAACAGTCTAAAACTGGGCTTTGGAGACTGTCTTTGGTACACTGCAGTTTCAAAGTTGAAATCCTCAGCCAAGGCTTTGACTGTTTGTTTTAATATTGAAATATCTTCCAGCATATATTTAAAACAAACAAACAAACAAAAAACACCATATGGACGTGTTGATATGTTAAAAAAACAACTTAATTTTCACTAGAGGGTGTCTTTAATTAGTTTACAAATTGAAATAGGAACAGCTCAACTCTTGACTTCAGATTTAATTTGGATAAATGATTTATTTTAATACAATTGTAGTTTGTAGATTTTCATATCTATACATTTTAGAGCTGTCCATTTAAGACTAAAGTGCAGGAACAGCGATCAGATCCACTTGTTTTCTCTCCTCTCCAAGTCTGATGTATACGAATAACAGTACTAATGTGCCATCTAGCAGGGCATCTCTTGGTCCGTCTGTGTCTGACTTGCTTGCAGCATCTTCCAGGTCTGACTTCTGTGACTTTGTGCCCCATAAAAGTGAGAAAGAAATAGAACATTTATTATGCCTGAAAAATGCCAAAGCCAACAGTGTTCACAAACTGTGTTGCGTGTGAACATAGGCTATGTGTGTGCAGCAGCAGCCTCTGTGGAGATCATCCATCCATCCATCCATTATCTATACACCGCTTAATCCTCACTAGGGTCGCGGGTGGGCTGGAGTCTATCTCAGCTGACTTAGGGCGAAGGCAGGGGACACCCTGGACAGGTCACCAGTCTATCACAGGGCTACACTTAGAGACAGACAGCCAAGCACACTCACATTCACACCTACAGACAATTTAGAATCACCAATTAACCTCAACATGTTTTTGGACTGTGTGGGAGGAAGCTGGAGAACCCGGAGAGAACCCACGCTGCACGGGGAGAACATGCAAACTCCACGCAGAAAGATTCCGGTGCCCCCACCGGGACGCGAACCGGCAACCTTCTTGCTGCGAGGCAACAGTGCTAACCAACTGCTCTGTGGAGATCAGTCCAGCTGATATTAGTGATGTCAGTCCTCAAATGCACACGTAACTTTAAAACTGACAAGTATTTTCTAGACTTGGGGTTTAATCAAGATTTGGTTACAACAATGGATTGACTAATAATTGGGTTGCAAGGTGGCACAGTTGGTAGCACTGTTGCCTTGCAGCAAGAAGGTTGCTGGTTCGCGTCCCAGTGGGGGCACCGGAATCTTTCTGTGTGGAGTTTGCATGTTCTCTCCGGGTTCTCCAGCTTCCTCCCACACAGTCCAAAAACATGTTGAGGTTAATTGGTGATTCTAAATCGTTGTGTGTGAATGTGAGTGTGCTTGGTTGTCTGTCTCTAAGTGTAGCCCTGTGATAGACTGGTGACCTGTCCAAGGTGTCCCCTGCCTTCACCCTGAGTCAGCTGGGATAGACTCCACCCCCCCCACGACCCTAGTGAGGATTAAGCGGTGTATAGATAATGGATGGATAGATGGATGACTAATAATTGTACATTGAGTTTAAAATGTTGATTAACTGGGCACATTCACTTCTCTAAAGTTTGCATGTCGGGATTTTGAAGTACAGCTGTGATATGAAAAATTAATAAGTCTAACGCTGTGACTTGAAAGATCAGCGAGACGGCTGCTACTTGAGGATGTCAGGTGACACATACAACCTGATAATTAACCACTCATTCCCACCGCGCTGATGTCATGATGTGATTTATCTGTTCAGGTGCCGAGAGTCTTCATCAATGGCAACTGCATTGGGGGAGGCTCCGACACCAAACAGCTCCATCAGCAGGGGAAGCTGGTGCCCCTCATCGAGCAGTGTGCTCCCTGCTGCGCTGCCAGCAGCTCTGAAGGCTCGGGCAGCGGACAGTTTGAATCCGCTAAATGACTAACCGTTCTTCTAGTGTTATTCAATCCTGTATTTAGTCAGTGTGTGCTTGATCTCTTGCTGCAAGTTGTACATTGCTTGAGCATGTTATTTATTTATCAAAGTTCACTGGATACTTGATGTTAATACGACACAAGTTTTTATCCAGGGATGTACAGTACTTTTATTATTAAAGCCTCCATCATCTTTCAAACAACAACTGTGAACAGTGGAACTGCTTCTCATACTTCTGCGCACTTGTTTTATTGATATGTTTTACAGTTTTAAATTCTGCATCACTGAACTGTGAACATCATGATGTGCTGGGTCGTTTCTATTTATGGTCCATGTCTTGCAAGAGCAACAGAGATGCATTTTGTATAATTGGCACATTTGTGCTCTTATTCTAAAATGTTAGTTTTTTTCATCAACTATGTAAATAAATGTAGTAATTTTGTATATTTTTTACTCAAAAAAAATTCTATTACTATATATGAGATTTAGGATTTGCTGGGTAGTGTGTCTGAGAATTTCTTTGCTATTGGGTAGGTTATTAGTTTACTAAACAAGTATATTGATAAGAAATCGTGATGCTGGTCAGTTTTGAAAATATATCAACTCAGAAACACTCCAGTGTTGTTAATGCATTGAATGTACGTAGATAAATTTGAACAAATACGAAATAAAGTCTGTTATCAGCTTCCAGTGTCGGTCTCTGCGTGTTCACAAAAGCGTGCTTCTTTTGTCACCCCGCCTCTCGTACGAGGGCGGGCGTTGGTCCTTATTCATAAGAAAATTATTGTTTAGTCATGATAGTGAATTAGTTTTGTTGTTTATCTTTACAAAGAAATACGCGAACAGTATATTTTCTACAAAGATGTTTTTCGCAAATGTTTAATAATTTTCGCCACTCATTCATAGCTTCTTGCGGTGTACGCTTAGGAGCAAAACACGCGCACCCATCTTGCCCACATTGCAATGCACCACGGTGAGGTCACGCCAGTGCTTCAGCTCAATTAGCTTGACTAGCGGGTACACTGCTAAGCTCACACATTAGCATCTTGTATATGTGTACAGTAGGTTGAATAAGCAGCATTGTGAAGAATGGCTGGAAGCGCAGGCGAGTGGTGTCTGATGGAGAGTGACCCCGGGGTGTTCACAGAGCTCATTAAAGGTTTTGGTAAGTGTCTCGGAGGGTAACGTTAGCTGCTCATTCAATGTAACGTGGCTATCTGATAGCGCAAGCTAGCTAGCTAGCTGCCCTGAGGCTAATGGTAATTTCCAAATTAGCAACCACTGATTTTCTTTGTAAAAACAGAAAATGTTACAGTGTTTGCGTTGTCACCTGCCACACAAGCGCTGTATTTTTTTAAAAAAAAAGATTGCATGCAATAATTGGGAAATTTTAGCTAGCTTATTAAGATAGGCTACATGGCTAGCATTACTCAGCGTTCAAAACAACGGCGCGTAAACAAACCCTCTTGAATGAGGACATATGTTGTGCCTCGCTCTGCTGTCAAATCACCACCGAGAGATGCTTCTGACTCAGTTAGGTTAGTTAGATCTTAATAAAGCAGTTATTACCGTGTAAATGCATGTACGACACTTTATTTCTCATTGTCAGGCTGCAAAGGAGCCCAAGTTGAAGAGATATGGAGTATGGAGCCAGAGAACTTTGACAACCTCAAGTATGTTTGTACATGCAACTTTATTATCCATGCATGCTTCCTCTAAAGACAGGCGTTTTAATGTATCTGTTCTATTCCAGACCAGTTCACGGGTTGATTTTCCTGTTCAAGTGGCAGCCAGGTGAGGAGCCAGCAGGATCAATTGTCCAGGATTCAAGACTTGACCACATCTTCTTTGCAAAACAGGTATATTTAGTTTTTTCATTAAAAGTCCTTTAATATTTCAACACTGTATTAGTTTGTAGCTGTAGTATAAATTAGGGCTAGGCCTATTTATCCATGTGCCTTTAAGGGTTTTAAAGTTAACACAACACGCCAAAAAACACATTTTGACACATAAATAAAAATACAGGAATAGGCACACTTTAATACACATTAAATGACAAATGCAACTAAAACCAAGTGGTGCACAGAGGGCAACAAGGGCGAAACCACAGCATAGCATTAAACTGTAGTTAAGACTCCTGGTGGCTTAGTTTGGACCAGGTATTACTAGATGACGACCCCAAGCCTTTGTGACAACCCCGACATGGAGTCCCTGATCCCTAGGAACAGGCCGCTGGGAGTGCATCTTGCAGGTGAAGGTGGGGAGGGGACACAGACTAATGGGTGGTTTTATACCGCAAAACCTGTCTCGTTGGTAGAGACCTGGCAACTGCTCGTCTTTACCGCCTCTCATTAATTACACGCCTCTACCGCAGCCTTCACCAGGAAAGGTTAGTGGGTTTGGATGGGCTGACGAGAGGTGAGGAAAGTAGCGCACCTCGGGAGACCTACATGGAAGCCATGGTTACAGTGATGGAGGCAAAGGGGCTCTGCTGTCATGGGATATGACAGACTGTTGATCAGCCAGGGAGGGAGAAAGCTTGGGGTTTGTTCATGCAACTGAATTTTGAGCTTTTATGTTGTGCTTTGGTTTGCATCAGATACATGTAAGTGAAACACTGAACATTTTTTTCAAACAACATTTTTATTCCTATCAATTAAGTGTCTATTGCCGGTACATGTTGCTACTGTTTTATGACCTAGACCGAATATAAATAACCTTAAACAAGTCTATGGCAGAGAAACCGGCAGCCTTTCTCTGCTTTTGTACTCAGTAGATCCACGTTTATCTTTGTGCCGTTCCAGATACATTTGCCTCAATATGTAACTGCTTACTAATAGTTTCCAAAAGAAAGATCCAATTCTATTTTTCTGAGAGAGGGTGCATCGGGGTATCACTGCACTCACCGGAACAAAAGAGAAACCAAGTGTAATGCAAAACATTTTTATCTTCTCTGCAGAGTAGTTCAGGCCAAATTGGATTATGAATTAGCTAATGAATTGCTGCACTTCTTCATTACTGGGCCCGTGACATGAAGCGCACAGCTGACTACAAAGTGCAAGGATCCTGCTCCTCACTCTTATAAAACACTTATTCTTTCTGATGCAGTATATGATATACTTGCTGTACATTATGTATTACAGAATACAGAATTCATCATTTTTTTGTCTGCACCTTTTCAGATCTATTCATTCAGTTTATGACAGATACACAGTGCCCACTTCTGAATTTACAACCGGCATCAATCAACTCAACTTTTTTTCTGTCTGATTACTTATTTTGCATTTGCTCTGTGTGTTTTCAGGTCATTAACAACGCTTGTGCCACCCAGGCGATAGTCAGCGTTCTGCTCAACTGCTCCCATTCTGACATGTTGCTTGGAGACACATTGACGGAGTTCCGGGAGTTTTCACAGAGCTTTGATGCCGCTGTATGTAAAATCTAAACACAGTATTATTTGTTTTTTTTGTTGTTTGAACTGCTGGTGTAAGGTTGGGAATCTACTTTTCCCAACAGATTTTTTTAGCTTTGTGTTTGAATATTCATTATGTGAAGACTAGAAAAGTTAGACTTAAGTGAATGAATAAAGCATTTTAAAAATATCTTTGCACTGCTTTCCCCTTTGGAGCAGTAAGTCATTACAGCCATTTCCTCCTGTATTTCCAACACTGCCAGGTTTATCCTCTTGCCTTCCCAACCGTGATGACTCAGTCCTGCAAATACTGAGGCGAAACACACAATATATGATGCTGGTTTAGACGTAGAGACCACTTCCACCTCGAAAACATTACTTTGGGCTATTTCACTGTACTGTTTTTAGTCTTAGCCAGCTCAGAAATGACAACATTTAATTATGAATGAGACATTTTATAACAGAACAGAAGCAACAAATTATTCATTTTCTTATAATTAGTTAATGCAAATTGAAAAGCTAAAGGGACACTTGGCTTCTTACTAAAAAAAGGAATAAACAGCGTGTTCCATACAGTCCTTTACACCTCTGTAGCTGTCAGGAAAAGGTTGTACAGTCAGCGTTATAATCCTGCATCTTCTCCTCAGATGAAAGGTTTGGCTCTTAGCAACTCTGAAGTGATCCGACAAGTTCACAACGGCTTTGCCAGGTAAGCTCCTGCTCATATCGGCTCCTGCTGGAGAGACTCTGTGTGATTGGCTTCATGTTATTTTTAGCTTTTTCTTCTAACTCGGTGAAAAGTGATTGGCCAATTTGTTGCTAATGCACCAGTCTACGTTTGGGAAACTGGCAAACATGAGGGTGCATCATTTGTTAGTCATTCCAACAATAAAAGTCAGTTCTGATTGTCGTCTCTAATTCAGTGAATGATAAAGGATAAAAATAAACAACACGTTCCTCATGTAGCGTGCTTTCACAGCGTGCATTGCAATATATTTAATTGAGGACAAAAGTATTTAAAATTCATTTATTGTGTTTGTGTTGTGATTCTCATGTGTAATGTTTTCCTACTTTGTTACTTTATTTTCCTATGTTTTTTTTTTTTTGCTTTTGATTTCATAATTGTGTTGTTTTTTGGTGTTTGCAGACAGCAAATGTTTGAATTTGACGCAAAGTCGTCAGCAAAGGACGAGGACGCCTTCCACTTTGTGAGCTATGTTCCTGTAAATGGCAGGTTATATGAGCTGGATGGACTTCGAGAAGGACCAATCGACCTGGGTAAGCATAAAAAGGCAATCTGTTATTTGTCTTTCATTGCTTTCAACATAAATTGTCAGTTTATCCTTTAAAGTCCCTGCTGTGCACAGCTGACTTTTGTCTTCTTGGCCACGGTCCATGACTCATAAAACTGCCAGTTTTTATGAGGACGTACAGTGTGTGTGCGGCTACTGCAGGTGTCCATATATACAGTATACTGTTTTTGTTTGTCACCAGGTGCATGCAACCAAGATGACTGGATCAGTGCAGTTCGCCCAGTGATCGAGAAAAGAATACAGAAGTAACTATCTTTTGCACATCTATTTTAGATACATCCTGTGTCGATGAAGTATTTTCTAATTGCCATTCGTTGTTCCCCTCTTCAGGTACAGTGAAGGAGAGATCCGATTCAACCTAATGGCCATCGTATCAGACAGAAAGATGATATATGAGAGGAAAATTGCAGAGCTCCAGACTCAGCTTACTGAAGTGAGTGGCAGCAAAAGAGCTGAATCCAGTGCAGACATTACAAAGAATAATTTATTGTTTTTGCTTTTCCCCCTTGAAAGCTACATGTAAAATGCATCAGCAAAGAAGCTTTCAAATGTTCGAAATCATAGCCATGCTGGGCTTAAGCTAAAAGCAAACAGTGGTTGGTTTTGTGGACTCCGTCCAGTAATCCGTTTTTCATATTTGTCATATTCCTCTGGAGACACGTGACAGATACAAATGTTCCAGTGTCTTGATGAAACCTGGTGTAACGCAGCAATCGTCTGTTGATTGCAACATTTAGAAAATAACAGGAGTTTCAGGTGAATGAGAGAAACGTGTAGTAGCATTCATTGAAGTCTTGAATGATTATGAAAAGTAGTGATTAGGGCAAAGAAATCAGTAAAGCAATTTGTCAAGAAATCAGATTTAGAATAAGTCGAATGTTTGGACCTTTAACAGGTTTGGAATTAAATCAAATTGTCTGTTTTTTTTTTTTGTTTGTTTGTTTTTTTTGTTTTTTTTTAATTTG